CAGGGTTAGCAATGGCCTTGGCAGTCTGTGTAACGTAGCTGGAAAGAAAGTCCCAGAAGAAAGTCCATTGTCCTCCTGGTTGTAAGGAAATGCTCAGATGAAAGTCCACTCTAATTCAGCCTCCATCAGGAAATCATCCACATCTTCCTCATGCTCTCATCTTCTCTTCTGGTCTGTCTTATCCCTTCTGGCTTAGTTATCTGCTCTGCCTGCTCCACCTCTTTAAAACAGCACATGGTCTTAATACATATCTATACTTTTCACATATCCAAGCTATGAAAATCACCAAATATCCATAGCAACACAGTTGGACAAAGTATGGAAACACCAAGTAAATGAACAAAATCATTACCTAATATGGTGTTGGACCGCCTTTGGCATCCAAGACGGCCTGAATTCTCTTGGGAATTGACAAATGTAAGTCTTGGATGGTGGATAATGGAATCTGATACTACTTTTCATATAAAAATTGTTCCAGTCCTCGCAGAGATGCCAGAGGTGGAAAACAAGCCTGAGCCTTGTTCTCCAAAATTTATCATAGTGATATGATATTGGTGTCCGGTGACTACGCCTCCTAGGTAAGGTGCGAGAATTCATCTGCACGATTTCATGCTCATCAAACTATGACTTAACACCAGCTGTGTGATTTGGAGCATTATCTTCTTGGTAAACTCCGCTGTTTTCAGGAAACAATGTCTGCAGCATGGGATTCATATTGTTGGCCAAAATTTGTACCTAGTTGCTGGCAGTGACTCTACCTTTCAAGGAGATGATGGGGCCTGCAGAATACCAAGCTATGGCTACACAAACCATGATTGTGCTGTCACCATGCTTTACCGTTGGCTCAAGACAGTTCTGGTCGAAGGCTTGGGATGGTGTTTGCCACATGTAAACATGTCTGGTGGTTGAGAACAGTATGAACCTCAATTCGCTGGACCATATTACATTCTTCCACTGATCGATAGACCACGATTTATGGGTGTTACACCACTCTCTCCTCTTCTGAGTATTAATATCGGTCACTTATGGTTTGGCAATTGCAGCTCACCTGTGTTTTGCTTTTGGACTTCCCTCCACACAGTTTTTGTGGACATGGGCTTTGGAAGTCACATTTGCAATTGTTTTCTTATTCTGGGTCACAATCCTGCCCAATGTCCTTTTGGTCAGTTGACTATGTCGACCGTGTTTATGCTTATCAGACTAGGTTTTCCAAGAAACTGACATGACAAAAGTGAGGCTTCCCACCTGTTAGCTAGGCGTCTCATCACACAGCGAAAGCAAAAGAATGTTACATCACTTCCGCTTTCAGCGTGAAACATTTCACTTTCATACCTGAAAATCATCAATGTTCCCATTTTTTGTCCAACCCCAGTATAACTGCTTTTTGTGGCCCTCTAGACCTAATAATTTTAAAAAAAAAAAACTAAAGCTTCATTTTTTTTTTTTTTAAATATAAAGTAACAAACATGTCTATACTGAACTGCTCTGTGCAGTTTTGCACACAGCTGCCCCAATCCTATTCTTTTTGGGTCCCCTACAGGTGCTCTGATTCCTCCCCCTTGAGCTGTGCCCCCAAAGAAAGTTGTTTGCCCTGGGGGCACCGCTACATGCTCACTCCCGAGCCGCTGCTCTAGGCGTCCATAAGTGCCCGTCACACCGGTGCGATTTACAAATTGAAACCGCATCTAATAAATGTAAATGTCCGTGTCTTAGCATGTGCAATTTACTGCAGCACGATTTCTAAAGTATTTATTTCTGGTACTTATATACAGTGGGGCAAAAAAGTATTTAGTCAGCCACCAATTGTGCAAGTTCTCCCACTTAAAAAGATGAGAGGCCTGTAATTGGCATCATAGGTAGACCTCAACTATGAGACAAAATGAGAAATAAAATCCAGACAATCACATTGGCTGATTTGGAAAGAATTTATTTGCAAATTGTAGGTGACCAAATACTTATTTTCCACCATAAACAAGCAAGATTTCTGGCTCTCACAGACCTGTACCTTCTTCTTAAGAGGCTCCTCTGTCCTGCACTTACTACCTGTATCAATGGCACCTGTTTGAACTTGTTATCAGTATAAAAGACACCTGTGCACAACCTCAAACAGTCACACTCCAAACTCCACTATGGTGAAGACCTAAGAGCTGTCGAAGGACACCAGAAAGTAAATTGTAGACCTGCACCAGGCTGGGAAGACTGAATCTGCAATAGGCAAGCAGCTTGGTGTGAACAAATCAACTGTGGGAGCAATAATTAGAAAATGGAAGACATACAAGACCACCGATAATCTCCCTCGATCTGGGGCTCCACGCAAGATCTCACCCCATGGGGTCAAAATGATCACAAGAACTGTGAGCAAAAATCCCAGGACCACACAGGGGGGACCTAGTGAATTGCCTTCAGAGAGCTGGGACCAACGTAACAAAGGCTACCATCAGTAACACACTACGCCGCCAGGGACTCAGATCCTGCAGTGCCAGACGTGTCCCCCTGCTTAAGCCAGTACATGTCCGGGCCCGTCTGAAGTTTGCTAGAGAGCATTTGGATGATCCAGAAGAGGATTGGGAGAATGTCATATGGGCAGATGAAACCAAAATAGAACTGTTGGTAGAAACACAACTCGTCGTGTTTGGAGGAGAAAGAATGCTGAGTTGCATCCAAAGAACACCATACTTACTGTGAAGCATGGGGGTGGCAACATCATGCTTTGGGGCTGTTTCTCCGCAAAGGGACCAGGACGACTGATCCATGTACAAGACAGAATGAATGGGGCCATGTATCGTGAGATTTTGAGTGCAAACCTCCTTCCATCAGCAAGGGCATTGAAGATGAAACGTGGCTGGGTCTTCCAACATGACAATGATCCCAAACATACCACCCGGGCAACGAAGGAGTGGCTTCGTAAGAAGCATTTCAAGGTCCTGGAGTGGCCTAGCCAGTCTCCAGATCTCAACCCCATAGAAAACCTTTGGAGGGAGTTGAAAGTCTGTGTTGCCCAGCGACAGCCCCAAAACATCACTGCTCTAGAGGAGATCTGCATGGAGGAAAGGGCCAACATACCAGCAACAGTGTGTGCCAACCTTGTGAAGACTTACAGGAAATGTTTGACCTCTGTCATTGCCAACAAAGGATATATAACAAAGTATTGAGATGAAATTTTGATATTGACCAAATACTTATTTTCCACCATAATTTGCAAATAAATTCTTTCCAAATCAGCCAATGTGATTGTCTGGATTTTTTTTTCTCATTTTGTCTCTCATAGTTAAGGTCTACCTATGATGCCAATTACAGGCCTCGCTCATCTTTTTAAGTGGGAGAACTTGCACAATTGGTGGCTGACTAAATACTTTTTTGCCCCACTGTAGCACTGTCAATTTACGCGCTATATATACATATATATATATATATATAAAAAATAAATATATTATATATATATATATATATATATATATATATAAAAACATTCACATCAGTCCCTAACCCTCAAGGGGTGTACAATCTAAAGTCCCTAACTCACATTCATGCATACTATGGACAATTTATACAGGATCCAATAACCTACCTGCATGTCTTTGGAGTGTAGGAGGAAACCGGAGTACCCGGAGGAAACCCATGTAGGCACAGGGAGAACATGCAAACTCCATGCAGGTGGTGCCGTGGTTGGGATGCCGTGGTTGGGATTTGATCCAACGACCCTAGCAGGCCATAGATGGGGAGAAAAAACGGCAGATTTTTCTTTTAAAAAAAACGAAAATTCGGTCGTTCAAGCGGCCGACGTTACCATCAATGGTAAAAAAAAAAAAAAAAAAAAAAAAAAAAAAAAAAAAAAAAAAAAAAAAAAAAAAAACTCGGCCGATGCCAGGCGGAAGTGCTAACCACTAAGCCCCAGTAGTGGCTTAGTGATTAGCACTTCCGCCTGGGCTAAAGGATCTTGAAATAGTTCTTGCATTACTTTTTCTGCAGTTTTGTTGTGATTTCACATGCAGAGAATATAATGGAACTTGCAATGCAAATTGCAAGAAATTGTTGAAAATCTTCTTCACAAGTAGCAATAAAGTCTGCAGAAATCACAGTGGTGTGGACGGATGACTAAGACACACAGAGCCGCGGCTTGGCCACGCTTCCCCCCCCGATTGGCTCACTGGGTGTGATTGACAGAAGCAGGAGCCAAATGAGCTCCCAGTGTTGTCTCAGATGAGGAGGGAGAGTTCCCATACAGCTGAGGCTATTGACAACATCACTAGATCAGAGGGGGCTGCACACAGGTTTTTTTTCATCTTCATGCATGGTATATATATGAAGGTATAAAACCTTGAGCCTTTACACTTTAACTCTTGGAGTGTGGGGGCAGCTCAGATATTTCCTTTCCATGGAGAGGGGCTGTAAAGTGAACCTGCTATTTCTGCTCTTTCCTGAATGTGCTAGTTGGCTAGCTGCAGTGCTCACCCTCCTGCACATAAAAGACATGTGACCTTCCTCTGCCATTCCTAGTCTGTTGTGACTGAAGGTACTAAAGCCAGTATAGTTGTGGGTAGCAGAGGCGGACTGACCATTTGGAAACTTGGGCACTCCCCGGGGTCAGTAGGGGGCCCCATGAGATGCCCCTGGTACCTTTTTCATAGGCTTTTTTGAGTTTGGGCAAGGACACAGGGGACCCATGATCCCCTATTGCCCGGGGCCCCATGAGTTGTCAGTCCGCCCCTGGTGGGTAGTGAACATTTACAGAAAGTTCAGCAGCGAAAGCTCTTATATACTTTAAACCCCCTTCAGCCGTGTCAGCTTCCACATTTCCTAGACACAAGTGTCTTCCCGACAGAGAAAAAAGTCCGGTGACATGCGCAGATGCGTCAAGGAGACATCTTCATGGTGGGACTCTTCTTGCCACTACACAGGCACACGCTTGTTTACTCACACAAGCATGATCGGTCCTCCCCACACGGCTGGTCATGTGGCCGTGACGTCACGAAGGTCCTTTAGCCCACTCGGATGTACCATCTATCCTGGCACGGGGAATGTTGGGGATGAGGCTGGCTGTGCTGTGCCGGGTTCTCCGGGAACAGGTGTCACACGATACGAGGTTGTGTGTGCGCTGCAGGCGCCTCCTAGACACAGGTGAGCCTTTACTTCCGGACAAACACGTGGGCTCCTCATCTCCTTCATACCTAGGGGGGACACACATGGGCACACTGCTCTCACACTTGTCATCATTGTCCTCTCACACAGTCCTCCTCTAGTGCCCTTTACGTGAAAGTTGTGCACCTTCCATAGATGTGTGTGCTCTCTGCTAGGTACGGGAGCAGGCTGACACCCTTGGAACTTCAGTGACCACAGCTTCAACTAAATGCACAGGCTTGTACAGGAAACTTCTCTCTTTCTTAACCCTTTGCACTCCTGAGGATTTACTCCCCCTTCTTGACCAGGCCATTATTTGCATTATGGCGCTGCGCTACTTTGACAATTGCGTGGTCATGCAACGCTGCACCTAAATGAAATTTACATCCTTTTTTCCCCATGAATTGAGCTTTCTTTCGGTGGTATTTGATCGCCTGTGTGTTGACTGACAATTTTGAGAAAAAAAAAATATTTTTGACTGTTTGCTATTAACCACTTGCCTACAGGGCACTTATACCCCCTTCCTGTCCAGGCCAATTTCCAGCTTTCAGCGCTGTCACACTTTGAATGACAATTGATCATGCAACACTGTACCCATATGAAATTTGTATCTTTTTTTGAGACCGCTTTCTTTTGGTGGTATTTAACCATTAGCCGCCCGGCCACTTCAAAAGTGTCTCTGCACTCCGGGTGCACGCCATTTGCACATGCGCAGTTTGCGCTAATGCAGAGCGGCGCAGCAGTGCGATCTGTCACTGCCCGTGCACCTCGGACACGGCCGATGACAGATCCGAGTGTCGGCTCCCATTGCTGGTACCATGTGACCTGCTGTGACCAATCACAGCAGGTCACATGACAGTTGTATACAATGGATGGCTTCATTCATGATGCCATCCATTGTATACTAGTGCCTAGCTGTGAATGGTCACAGCTAATCACATGCACATGTCATGTGATTAGCTGTGACCAAATCACAGCTAAGCACAAAAAAAAAAAAAAAAAAAAGCTGAATGAATCGATTTCATTCAGGTAAATGCTTGCTTATAGCAAAGTAATTCTTTGCTATAAGCCAGCGGTTCTCAACCTGGGGGTCGCGACCCCTTTGGGGGTCGAACGACCATTTCCCAGGGGTCGCCTAAGACCATCGGAAAACATATTTCCGATGGTCTTAGGAACCGAGACACCGCTGCTCTGTCTCGCGATCTGTGGGCGGGATGATATGCTGCCCCTGTAACCTGGCCACACCTCCGGGATCACTCAACAGCTCCGCCTCCTCGCCGCTGATTGGCCACCGGAACTGTAGCTCAGGAGAGGCACACAGGCGGCCAATCACCGGCGAGGAGGTGGAGCTTGGAGAGGAGGAGCCGAGCGGCAGAGCGCGCAGATCGAAGAAGATCGAGGGAGCTGCAGGACCGAGTGAAGAGGAGAGAGGCCAGAGAAGGAAGACAGCTGACAGGTAAGTGGAAATTTTGCTTCTGCAGGCTGTAGATGGGAGAGGGAGAGAGCGAGCCCAGGCTGGAGCAGGGGTCAGCAAGGTAAGTATCATTGGTGTCAGTGGGAGGAATAGTGCCCCATCATTTGTGTCACTAATACCAACGATGGGGCACTATTCCTCCCCCCACTGACGCCAACGATGGGGCGCTATTCCTCCCCCCACTGGCACCAACGATGGGGCGCTATTCCTCCCCCCACTGACACCAACGATGGGGCGCTATTCCTCCCCCCACTGACACCAACGATGGGGCGCTATTCCTCCCCCCACTGACACCAACGATGGGGCGCTATTCCTCCCCCCACTGACACCAACGATGGGGCGCTATTCCTCCCCCCACACTGACACCAACGATGGGGCGCTATTCCTCCCCCCACTGACACCAACGATGGGGCGCTATTCCTCCCCCCACTGACACCAACGATGGGGCGCTATTCCTCCCCCCACTGACACCAACGATGGGGCGCTATTCCTCCCCCCACTGACACCAACGATGGGGCGCTATTCCTCCCCCCACTGACACCAACGATGGGGCGCTATTCCTCCCCCCACTGACACCAACGATGGGGCGCTATTCCTCCCCCCACTGACACCAACGATTCCTCCCCCCACTGACACCAACGGGGGCGCTATTCCTCCCCCCACTGACACCAACGATGGGGCGCTATTCCTCCCCCCACTGACACCAACGATGGGGCGCTATTCCTCCCCCCACTGACACCAACGATGGGGCGCTATTCCTCCCCCACTGACACCAACGATGGGGCGCTATTCCTCCCCCCACACTGACACCAACGATGGGGCGCTATTCCTCCCCCCACTGACACCAACGATGGGGCGCTATTGGGGCGCTATTCCTCCCCCCCACTGACACCAACGATGGGGCGCTATTCCTCCCCCCACTGACACCAACGATGGGGCGCTATTCCTCCCCCCACTGACACCAACGATGGGGCGCTATTCCTCCCCCCACTGACACCAACGATGGGGCGCTATTCCTCCCCCCACTGACACCAACGATGGGGCGCTATTCCTCCCCCCACTGACACCAACGATGGGGCGCTATTCCTCCCCCCCCCCACTGACACCAACGATGGGGCGCTATTCCTCCCCCCACTGACACCAACGATGGGGCGCTATTCCTCCCCCCCCCCACTGACACCAACGATGGGGCGCTATTCCTCCCCCCACTGACACCAACGATGGGGCGCTATTCCTCCCCCCACTGACACCAACGATGGGGCGCTATTCCTCCCCCCACTGACACCAACGATGGGGCGCTATTCCTCCCCCCACTGACACCAACGATGGGGCGCTATTCCTCCCCCCACTGACACGATGGGGCGCTATTCCTCCCCCCACTGACACCAACGATGGCGCTATTCCTCCCCCCACTGACACCAACGATGGGGCGCTATTCCTCCCCCCACTGACACCAACGATGGGGCGCTATTCCTCCCCCCACTGACACCAACGATGGGGCGCTATTCCTCCCCCCACTGACACCAACGATGGGACGCTATTCCTCCCCCACTGACACCAACGATGGGGCGCTATCCTCCCACTGATACCAACGATGGGGCACCCACTATTCCTCCTCCCACTGCAAAATTACAGTTCTGAAGTAGCAACGAAAATAATTTTATGGTTGGGGGTCACCACAACATGAGGAACTGTATTAAGGGGTCGCGGCGTTAGAAAGGTTGAGAACCACTGCTATAAGCAAATTGTGTAAAAAAAAAAAAAAAAAAAATACTGATCACTTCCCCAAAGTAGTACAATGTTACTATGGTAACATTGTACTACTTTAGTCATAGTAAAATATGAAAAAAATAAAAAAAAATGTAATAAAAAAAATTAAATATAATAAAAAAAAATATATATATATTTTTTTTTTCATACTGTCACCAGTCAGTGTCCCTGTTCACCGCCATGCCAGTTATATGATGACGCTGTACTGCACTGGTGACAGTATGTAAAAAAAAAAAAATAGTGAAAATAATTTTTTTTAATTTTTTCATTTTCTGAAAAATTATGACAAAAAAAAATGCAACTTCAAAAAACTCGCCATGCCTCTTATGAAGTATGTCGGACTGTCTACTCTGCAAAAAGGGGTCATTTGGGGGGATATCTGTACTGTTCTGACATTCTTGGACCTCAAGAAATTAGATTGGCTGTCAGTACTTCAGGATTGATCAATATTCAGATATATACCATAGTTTGTGAACTCTATAACTTTCCTACAAACTAAATAATACATCCTAATTTGGGTTATTTTCACCAAAGACATGTAGCAGAATACATCTCGGCCTAAATTTATGAAGAACAATTATTTATTTGCAAACTTTTATAACAGAAACAAAGAAAAATGTGTGTTCTTTTTCAAAATTTTTGGTCTTTTTTTGTTAATTTAGCAAAAAATAAAAACCCCAGCGGTGATTAAATACCACCAAAAGAAAGCTCTAGTTGTGTGAAGAAAATGATAAAATTTTAGTTTGGGTACAATGTTGTATGACCGCGCAATTGTCATTCAAAGTGTGAGAGTGCTGAAACCTGAAAAATGGCCTGGGCAGGAAGGTGTAAAATTGCACGGTATTGAAACGGTTAATCACCTCTGGGTTTTTTATTTTCTGCTAAACAAACCAAAAACAACTGAAAATTTTGAAAAAAAAGTTTTCTTCTTAGTTTCTGTTATAAAATTTTGTAAATAAGTGATTTTTCTCCTTCACTGATGGGCACTGATAGGTGGCAGTGATGGCCATTGACAGGCATCACTGATAGACACTGAAAGGCAGCACTGCCTGGCAGTGTTAGATGGCACTGATGCACACTGGCGGCACTGAAAGGCTGCTCAGATGGGCATTGATGTGCGCTGGTAGGCACTGATTTGTGGCACTGAGAGGCATTGATGGGGCTAAACTGATCAGTGTGCATGTCCTCTCTGAGGAATGCCGATTACTGGCTTTCCTCATGCGCCGTCAGCATGACAGCTTGTGAGGAGAGGAATGTTGATAACCAGCATTTCCTTATTTGCATGCGATCAGCTGTGATTGGACACAGCTGATCACATGATAGAGCCAATATCATTGGCTCTTTTCGTTGATCGGTGATCCGCTGTGTCCCAGGGACCATCGATCGCCAAGCTGCGCACCCCCAGTGGTTAGAGTAGGAGGACGTCATATGGTGTCTTCCCAGAACGAGAGAACTGCCTTGCGCCCTTCAGTACCTTATATGGCGGGCGGGAGGCAGTTAAACATGTCCAGTAAAAAAAAAATTAAAAAAAAAAATCAAACTTCCTCAAATTTTATGCCAAAATGTATTCTGCTACATGACTTTGCTAAAACCCCCCCCCCCCCCCCCCCCCCCCCAAAAAAAAACCCGTGTAAATTGATTGGTTTACGTATAGCATTTACAAATGGCGATATAGATACTGGGAACTATGTCATAATAAATTGCTTCATATGATCACTCTCTTTAACCACCTCCCGCCCGCCGTATAGTATTATGATGGGCGCAAGGTGGTTCTCTCTTTCTGGGGAGGACGTCATATGACGTCCTCCTATTCTCACTGTGCATGTGCAGCTCGGCGATCTCCTGTGTGCTGTGTCCCTCGGACACAGCGGATCACCGATCACGGAAAGAGCTAAAGATGTCAGCTCGGTCATGTGATCAGCTGTGTCCAATCACAGCTGATCACATGTAAACAGGGAAATGCTGGTTATTGGCATTTCTCTCTCCTCGAGCTATCACGCTGAGAGCGCGAGAGGAGAGCCGGTAATCGGCTTTCCGCAGAGGGGACATTTACACTGATCTTCAGGGAACTGATGATCAGTGTGCCCTGATGATCAGTGTAACCCCAGCAGTGCCACCTGTCAGTGTCCATCAGTGCCTTATGTCAGTGACTTGTGCCAGTGCACATCAATGCCACATATCAGTGCCCATCTGAGCTGCCTTTCAGTGCCACCTATCAGTGCCATGTATCAGTGCTGCCTTTCAGTGCCACCTACCAGTGCTGCCTCATCAGTGCCACCTATCAGTGTAGCCTACCAGTGCAGCCTCATTAGCACACATCAGTGAATGAGAAAAATCACTTATTTACAAAATTTTATAACAAAAACTAAGAAAAAACATATTTTTTTTCAAAATTTTCAGTGGGTTTTGGTTTCTTTAAGAAAAAATAAAAAACCCAGAGGTGATTAAATACCACCAAAATAAAGCTCTGTCACAAAAAAATGATAAAAGTTTCATATGGGTACAGTGTTGTATGACCGCGCAATTGTCATTCACAGTGCGACAGCGCTGGAAATTGGCCTGGGCAGGAAGGGGTTATTTTTTGGCACGATCAGTCATAATTTCAATATCTATGCCCAAATTTCACGATTTCTGCCAGGGTATGTAAGCTTTTGAGCACAACTGTATATATGCAGCTGCAAAGCAGGAGAATGCCTCCACCACCTATGATCAGTTGGTGCCTTCAACAGCTTCCTGGTGGGATAGCTCAGGCAGGTTTTGACTTGTGTTTGAACCTGCCTATGCTTATCATTAGTGCTGATCAGTTATTTCTCGGTCTGCCTGCAATCACTTTCCCTCCCTCATCTATGTGGTCTTTTATTAAACTCTCCAGTATCTTCCCAACTATAGAAGTTAAACTAACAGGTCTATAATTACTTGGTAAAGATTTTGACCCCTTTTTAAATATTAGCACCACATTAGGCTTACGCCAATCCAGTGGTACTATGCCAGTCATTAAAGTGTCCCTAAAAATTAGAAACAATGGCTTTGAAATGAGAGCTCAATTTTTTAAGGACCCATGGGTGTATGCCATCCAGTCCAGGTGCTTTATTCACCTTTTTATCTGCCAAAATATTTTTGGATCATATCAATTGTGAGCCAGTGTAGATCATCTGGAGCTGTGTCAATACCATGCCCATTATGGACAAGAGCTCCCCCATTCCCCTTTTGTATACACAGAACTGAAGAAGGTATTAAATAAATTTGCCTTCTCTTTGTCCCCAGTCACCCACTCTAGATTATTTTGTAAAGGACCTACATGCTCGGACTGAACCTTTTTACTATTATATTTGAAGAATTTTTTGTGGTTGGTCCTGCTACCTTTTGCTATCTATCATTCATTTTCAATTTTTGTGTCCTTTATTTCCTTTTTGCATATTCTGTTATATTCTTTGTAATGTTTAAACGATGATAGCATTCCTTCATTTTTATATTTAATAAAAGCTCTTTTCTTATTATTTATTACTTTTTTTTAACTTTGGCCGTAAGCCACATAGGTTTAATTTTTAGCCTTTTAAACTTGTTGCCCATGGGAATATAGTTTGCAGTGTGTTCACATACAGTCTTTTTGAAGAACTCCCATTTATGTTTTTTTCATTGATGCCAAGATTCCCTCCCCAGTCTAAGTCTTGGAGAGCAGCTCTCAGCCTTGGAAAATTAGCTCCCTTAAAATTGAGCGGTTTTATTTTTCCCAAATGTACTTGCTTTACAGCTAACGATAAGTTAAATAATGTTATGGTCACTGCTGCACAGATGTTCTTTTATATGGACATTCGTAATAAGCTCTGCATGGTTTGAGATTACCAGGTCAGGCAGAACATCATTCCTAGTTGGGGTCTCTATGAACTGTACCATAAAATTGTCCTGAAGTAGGCACGTATGCAGGCACAAACGTAAAAGCACATGCTTGGGCGCCTACACTACACATGAAAACGTGGATTGTGATACACATGTTACATATCGCCGCGCACGCCAGAATAGAGCGAGAATTCTAGCACCATACCTCTGTAACACTATACTGATGACCTATAAAGGGCTTTAAAAGTGTTGCCTATAGAAAATATAGAGTTATCAAAGTTTGTTGCCGTTTCGCAAGTGCACACAAATTTAAAGTTTGACATGTTGGATATCAGTTTACTCGTCTTTTATTTTTTACAAAAAATTGGATAATTTATTGCTTTTTGTGCCCTAAAATTAACTTAAGTGTATTTATTTACTGAAACCTTTGTGATAATATCGTGTGACATAAAAAATTGGAACTACCGCTATTTTATTCTCTAGGATCTCTGATTTCAGAAAATATATTACGTTCTGGGGGTTTGTGTAATCCTCAGGCCTAAAACAATTTTTTAAACGTGTTCAAATAACGCAAATACAGCTTTGGCAGTGAAATGGATAAAGGATAAGTCGGACACTCCCCTTTCCTGACTAGCAGCCAATCGGTGCTCATTACACTGCAAGGTCTCTCCTCTCCCTGCAAGTCCCCGAAGTTGGGGCTGGAGACAGGGAGGGGAGGAGGAGATAAACATGTTAAAAATATTAAAAGTTTAAGTCGCCATAAAGCCCCTTTTGTTTTTTAAAAGCCCCAGATACTACTTAAGGCAGATTTAAATACAGTTTTGGTTAAACTTGTTTTTTTTTTTTTATCAGGGCAAGTAGATTGGGACACCGATTTAGTCCCTGGACAGACATCGCCACCTTTCCTATTTATCCTATCTATCCGAAAGAGAACATAGCCAGGAATATTAATGGCCCAGTCGTGAAGAATGAAGCCAAGATTCAGCAATACCAATTAGGTCATAGTTCTGTTCATGCACCAAAGCTTCCAACTCATATATTTTGCTTGGCAGACTTCTGGCATTGGTGAACAAACACTTTAATTCATTGACACCTTGTGCACAGTTATTTTGCATATTTTTTTATTTTCATACAAATGGTACCAATTCCACTGGTTTTGTAACATGGGAACCTTCTTATCATCTGCCATAGCCCACCCCCCCGCCATTCCACCCATCAATAAGTACTAACCCCTGTCTGATCTGTCTACCCCATTATAATCTAATTCTCCCTCCCCCCTTGATCCTAGTGTAAATACTCCTCCAGGCTTCCCATAAACCTCTCCACCAACACAGGAGACCCACTTCCATTTTGGTGCAAACCATCTCTAGCATTTAGGCTGCACCCCAATGTAAAGTCGGCACAGTGCTCTAGAAACCCAAATTCTTCCCTCTTACACCAGTTCTTTAGCCATGCTTTGAGTTCTTTAATCTCCTCCTGTCTTTCCTGAGTTGCGATTGGCGCATGTAATATTTCAGAGAATATCACCTTGGAGGTCCTTTCCTTAAACTTGCAATCTAGTTCTTTAAATTGATTCTTAAAGAGCCTTCACCTTCCATTTATGCTGTCATTGTTTCCAACATGGACCAAGACAGCTGGGTCATGCCCAGCCCCTCCCAGTAATGTATCAATCCTATCCACAACATGCCAAACCCTGGCACTAGGGAGACAGCAAACCATTTGGTTGAGGCAATCCTGGCGATAAATTATTCTATCAGTCCTTCTGATTATAGAATCCCCTATTACCACCAACTGTCTAGGCCTTCCTGCACTACACTCACCAGCTCTTTCAGAAGGTCTGCCCTCCCAGGTGTTAGGGATAGCAGTGACATCCAGGGCTGCCCTGCCTGAACTTTCCACTCCCACATCTTGACCCAACTTGGCTAATCTGTTTGGGTGCTCAAACCCAGGGCCAGCCTTCCTTTTCTGTGAGCCACTACCACTCCCTCTCACTACAGTAACCCATCTTCCTACCTGATAATCCTGACTAGCCCCTCCACCCTCAATTCCATTAGCTACCTGCTCAGAGAGCAGAAGACCCCTTTCAGAGTTGTCAGTTCTGCCCAGTGTTGCAACTTGCTCCTCCAGATCTCTTACACAAGCTTCCAGAAGGGCAACCCGCTCACATCTGTTGCAGCGGTATCAATTTTGGAGTTTTTGCTCCTTTGTTGCATACATGTGGCACACTGTGCACTACACAAAACCGTCAACCCTGCTAGCACTGATTCTCCCAGTTACAATATTAATATTACTAATAGGAAATATCAGTTGTCACTTACAGGTTAGTAGAGTCCTGTTCTAATCTCCTGTTTTCCAATCCGTTTTTTTAACTCCACTTAATCAAGTGTCCACTTGATCAATTGTCCAGCAAGCAAAATACAAGCTCAAAGTGAGCTCTACAGAAATTTATATAGTACCTGTAGCACCTGTGACCAATTAACTCCTCCCCTTAATTAGCAGACTGAAGGAAGGAAAGGAAAAAATGCTATTTATCTCTATAAGAAATAGTGACTTAAAAATGTAAAAGCTGCTAGCAAGGCTCCAAAGAAAAAAATAAAGCAACTACAAGCACCAGTAAACACCAGCAGTCAAAAGCAAAATTGTTTTTCATTCTCCACTCAAATTTCCCACTCTTTTTAGCTTCCAGCCAGCAAAATGTGCCAGACCCTACCCTATACAAAACATTAGAAAAAAAAATGTCTACATGTACACTTTAATAAAAAATAAAAGTACAATTCAGTGAATATCTTTGTCATTCTGCCTCCACTTTTCCTACTAATTACAATTGCAAATTTTGTCTTCCAGGAAGCGCACAGAGATGGTCTTCGTCTGCAAAACCTAAGGATGAGATCAGAATCAGTAATTGGGGTAGAATGGAATTACTTGAAGGTCAGTTAAATGAATTTACTGAAAAAAAAAACACCCTTTATGAAGTAAAAATTTACTTTTGTGTATGTGATAGTTCTCCTTTTTTCCCTACAAAGAATAGTCACATGAGTTAACAGCAACAACATGAATGCATCTATGCCTGTATCTTTCCCTTGGCTCACTGCTTTTAGAACATTGTTGCACCATGTTGCCTTTAAAAGCTGGAAAAAGTAATTTTGAAGTGCAGGTTCACTTGCAGCTCCCATTGTCATAGGCGGCATACTTTTTTTTTTTTTAACAGATGTTATTTTCAAAAATGTTTTTATATTATAACAATAACAAAGAAGACACCTCACTGTCAGAATCAGGCTTAGAATTTTAACCTGTAGAAAGCAGTGGCACCCTCACAGCTCGGGAAATAGTGAAGAGGTCCCTGCTAAAACCAGGCATATCTGACCCCATGTTGCTGAAGTGCTATAAATGCATAATTATGCTCATATACAGCAGGGCGCAAGTACTAGCACTGCACTACTTTTTGGTGATCAGGCAAACACCAGCTGCATAGTACATCCTGGCCTTTTAAACAACACCACTGCAGTATTTCATGGTGAAGTGGCGAGCGCCAGCAGTGCAGTACAAGCTAGTGAGTTGGCCAGCACTCGTAGCATAATGCAACCGTAGCCACCAGGAATTCAAGCACAGGCCGTAGAGCCCATAGTAGCCATAGGTGCTTGCAAACACTAATTGGCTGCCCCCAGATTCAGCAGCACCCGTTATCCCTCCATTCACAGCCCAGCCCAGAGTTCAGGTGGAAACAGTGAACTTAACAACACCCCTTGACGTTTTTGAGTGGTTTTTCACCAAAGACCTCTACAACTTGATTGTGAACCAAAGTAATGCTTATGCCAACAGGACATAGCCAACAACCCAAATTCATAGCTTGCAAGGCCATTTGGGTGGAAACTCTTACGGTATCTGAATTTAAAACATTCTTGGGCCTGACCCTTAACATGGGAATTACAGAAAAGAATGAAATGCAGTAATATTGGTGAACAGACCCTATTCATCATATGCCCGTTTTCTCTGCTGCAGTGACCAGGAAGATATATGAGACAATGTTGCGTTTTATGCATTTCAGTTTAAATACCATCAGTTTTCCCCAGGGTGACCCTGGCTATGATCGGCTCCACAAAATTTGGCCCCTCATAAATTACCTGTCCCATAAACTGTGCTGATGTGTATATTCCCCAACAATACATCTGCATAAACAAGTTTCCTGTGCAGATGTGTATGCTCCCCAACAAATCATCTGCATAAACAAGTTCCGTGTACATTTTACTGGCAGGCTTGCAATAAAGCAGTATCTTCCCAGCAAGTGTGCCAGATATGGGGTCAAACTGTATAGGCTCTGTGAGAGGGCCACAGGTTATACAGTGAAGGAAATAAGTATTTGATACCTTGCTGATTTTGAATGTTTGCCCACTCACAAAGAAATGATCAGTCTAAAAATCGAATGGTAGGTGTATTGTAACACTGAGACAGAATAGCAACAAAAAATTCAAAAGAGATGCATATCTAACAAATTATGCACTGATTTGCATGTTCATGAGGGAAATAAGTATTTGATCCCCTTCACAAAACATGACTTAGTACTTGGTGGCAAATCCCTTGTTGGCAATGACAGAGGTCAGACGTTTCCTGTAGTTGGCCACCAGGTTTGCACACATCTCAGGAGGGATTTTGGCCCACTCCTCTTGGCAGATCCTCTCCAAGTAATTAAGGTTTGGTGGCTGACGTTTGGCAACTCGAACTTTCAGCTCCCTCTACAGATTTTCAATCAGATTAAGGTCTGGAGACTGGCTAGGCCACTCCAGGTCCTTAATGTGCTTCTTCTTGAGCCACTCCTTTGTTGCCTTGGCCTTGTGTTTTGGGTCATGGTCATGCTGAAACACCCATCCATGACCCATTTTCAATGCCCTGGCTGATTGAAGAAGGTTCTCACCCAAGATTTGATGATACATTGCCCCGTCCATCGTCCCTTTGGTGCGGTGCAGTTTTCCTGTCCCGTCCCCTTAGCAGAAAAACACCCCCAAAGCAGAATGTTTCCACCACCATGTTTGACAGTTGGGATGGGGTTCTTGGGGTCATAGGCAGCATTCCTCCTCCAAACATGGCAAGTTGAGTTGATGCCAAAGAGCTCTATTATGGTCTTATCTGGCCACAACACTTTCAACCAGTCCTCCTCTGCATCCTTCAGAGGTTCAGTGGCAAACTTCAGATGGGCCTGGACATGTGCTTTCTTGAGCAGAGGGACCCTGCGGGCACTGCAAGTTTTCAATCCTTGTCGGAGTAGTGTGCTACCAATCGTTTTCTTGGTGACGGTGGTACCAGCTGCCTGGAGATCATTGACAAGATCCTCACATGTAGTTCTGGGATGATTCCTCACTGTTCTCATGATGATTGACACTCCACGAGGTGAGATCTTGCATGGTGCACCAGACCTAGGGAGACAGGCAATTGTTTTGTGTTTCTTCCATTTGCGAATGATTGTACCAACTGTTGTCACCTTCTCACCAAGCTGATTGGCGATAGTTTGGTAGCCCAGTCCAGCCTTGTGTAGGTCTACAATCTTGTCCCTGACATCCTTGGACAGCTATTTGGTCTTTGCCATGGTGGAGAGTTTGGAATCTGATTGTTATATTTCTCCTGTGGACAGGTGTCTTTTATACAGGTAACAAAATGAGATTAGCAGCACTCCCTTTAAGAGACTGCTTCTAATCCCAGCTTATTCAACCATTAAAAAAAAAAAAAAGTTATAATCCTATACCCACAGTTGATCAGAGGAAGCCAAAAAAAAACCCAGCAAAGCATGATCCAATTTGCTCCTGCAGGGAAAAGAATTCCTTCCTGATCCCCGAGTGGGAATCAGATATTCCCTGGATCAACTTTACGTATAAATGTTAGTATCCAGTTATATTCTGTGTATCTCAGAGAATCCAGGCCTTTTTTAAAGCAATCCACTGAGCTGGCCAGAACCAACTTTTGAGGGAGTCTAGTCCACATTTTCACAGCGCTCATTGTGAAGAAACCTTTCCGTGTTTGGAGATTAAATTTCTTTTCCTCCAGACGTAAAGAGTGCCCTCTTGTCTTCTGTGATGACCTCAAGGTGAATAGCTCTACACCGAGTTCACTATATGAACCATATGCTTGCAGCTGTGAGGGTGATGACAGAGCAGAAGCAGGCTTTCCTGCTATAGAGGCAGTTGCAAAAGGTATAATGCAAAGGGCAATGAATGACCCAGCATGCAGCCCTTGTCTTACATCTCTTGAGTTCTTAAAATACAAAGTAGAACTAGAACAGCTGTTACTTAAGAGTGAAAGTAAAAGATAAACCCAAATTTTTGGTTGCCACCAGAATCGGAAATCTTCTAGTGGTGATTCTGGTGACAACTAGGGTTTACCTCACCTTTTTGGAGGGATTTTCTTCTCACCTCCTGGTTCGTCTATGGGATTGGAAGTGAAAGAAGATCTCCCTAATTGGACACAGATGGCAAAAACAAAATGGACACTGGTTGTAACCCTTATTCAAAATGGGAAAAGAAAAGTTTTGCATTTAGTTCTACTTTAACTGAATGGCATTATGAATGTGTTCGGAAGGAGATCTGTGTCCTTTGTCTCCATAGACTGGGGTTCTGGGGTGTAATGCAAGGCTGGACACAAAAGCTAAGAGCAAGTCACGCACATTGCACACAAGCTTACAATCAAAACCAGCACTCACAACGTAGTTTCTAAGCTTGTGAGGGACATACTACCAAGTGTAAAACTGCCCTGGCACATCTTGCAGCATTCACTCAGCACCCCAAGAAATAACAGAATCCAACTGCAGTGCTCTTGCACTGTCAAAACCTCCACATTTATTATCACACAACACACAGGAGGATATATCTTATGGTCAGCACAATCTGCATAATAACGCACGCCAATAGTAATGTGAGCATTGCAACATGAAACAAACATATCTTTTGACAGAGCCACAGCATAGAATTAATACAGTACCAAAGCTATGGGAAGAAGAGAAGGAAGGCACCTCATCGAATCCACAGTGCACAGGAGACCATGGAGAAGCCTGGAGTACGACCGACCAATGAGTCCATGCAGCTTCGGCAAAAGTCCCAGTTGGTTGTGAACCCAAAAAAACAAAATTGAAATAACCAGTCTACCTCACACCTCACACAGCATAGCAGCAGAAGTCATCTGCCCCCAGTCTGGCCAGGATAGGAGCAGCCAGTCATCTGAAATCCACTCTGTTTTCCTACAGTGAAAAAACCTGACACATGAAAAAAAAAATTGTCGCCACACCCCCTCTCCTGTGACTGACAGACTAATAAGGAGTCTCATGCATGAACATGAGAGAAGTGGGCGTGTATCCCACAGCCATCCACACAGATCTTTCCCAAAATAGCTGGACACTTTTACTGTATAACTAGCGGGCACTACTTGAAAGTAGGGCACTACAGTAAAAGTGTTCAGCCCTTTAGAGGTTAATTGTGATCCATAAAAAAAAAAAAACCAACGGCTCTCCAGCCTGTCCTGGGATTGGTACATCTGCCCAAGCCAAAACCCCCCACACAACACATATACCAAGGGAGGAGGCACAAAAAAACCCCCTCACAATAAAGGATAAAGCACCTCAATGGCTAATGATCAGAATATATTTATTTGTTGGACGTAAACAATGAACAATTCAGTGCATAAACCCATCCATCCCCTCCCTCCACAGCACACCCCCACCCAAAGCTACTCCCCCACACACAATGGAGCACCCCAACACCCCACCCCCTAAGGTCGCCCCCAGAGCGACCCCCCCCCCCCCCCAAACACCTCCCCCACCCTAACAAGAATGGCGGGATCCGGGTGACATAGGCCAACCCTCCACACCTCTCCCTGTCCATCTTCACTGTGCTGATGCAAACTCCCTAGGGTCCCTGCTGTGATATGTGCTGATGTCAAAATCTCAATAAGCCAGCAATTGTGTCAACTCCACAAGGTGTTCATATAGAGGAAGGCAAAAAAGCAACAAAGTGCCTATAACAGTTCGCATGTAACTCTGTGTGTAGTATGCTCAAATCCTTCTTTGTTCACATCACTGTAATCAAAGCTTCAGAAAGGACACCTAATCGGCACTAGACAGGTCCAGCCTACACCTTGGTAGCTGATTGACTCTGTAATCCATAGGCCGTAGAATAAGTCCATCACTCAATGCAACAGGTAAATGGAACAGTCTCACCATGTGGATCTCAGGACATCCGTGCTGGTAAAGTACAACAGATCATGTAGTCCCAGGTAGCGGTATTCGGGGATGAGACAGCACAGCTTGTAGTGCAGCAGGGTGGATAAAAATCAATGATTTTTTTAAAAAAAATTTAAAAAATCAGATTTTTTTGATTTAAATCGGATTTTTTTTGATTGATTTAAATGCTTTTTGAGGAAAATATATTACCATCCAAAGGTTATTCCATCATGAAATAAAGATTAGTTTTTTAATTATGTAGAATAAGGCTGTATATGTTTAATTTTTTTGGTAAATAAATTCCATTAATCCATTCACAATGTCATGCTCTTCCAGAGGTTTTTGTAAGATTATTGGGCAGTTTCTCTGCCTACAAGATATTATCACAGATGTTTGGTTTACTTTTGCAGTTCTCAAAACTGAATTTGACTCAGCGGAGATCACATGCCTTTTCTTCACAGCAAAAATGTTATAACATGAACAGAGTTAAGAAAAAGACCTTAATCCTAACTTCTACAAACCTATGAATACAGAATCAACCCCTTCAGTGCTAAGTTTCAAGAAGTTCAGTGAATAGAAACAATATTTGTCTGATTGTTTGGAGAGGAATAGATCTGCACAAGAAGAAAGTGAAACTAAGTGTGAGGAGGAAGGGGCTGACAGTCTAAGTTTCTTAAAATATATATATTTTGTTTAGCCAAATTACCGTATTTTTCGCGCTATAAGATGCACTTTTTTCCCCCCAAAAAAGGGGGGAAAATGTCAGTGCGTCTTATGGAGCGAATATGGAGCGGCCGGTCCGGTATTTCCACCGCCGCCGTGTCAGAAAACCGGGCCGGCCGCTCAGCTCTGCAGCGGGACCTTATGGAGATGACTGCTGACCTTTGGTGAGGGGGGGGGGAGCGCGGGTACCTGAATTTGACAGGTACCCGCTCTTACTTCCGCGGAGTTGTTCTTTGACCTTACCTGTTCCTCTATCCAGTGGCGCGCTGTCTTCCCGGCTTCTGTAGTGTGGGCGCTGGGCTTGACAGCCGGGGGGCCAAGTGCGCATGCGCAAGAAACGGTGCTTTTTGTGAATGGTAAGGCGGTACCTGGGACACATGACAGATCCCAGAAGCCGCCGGACCAATCACAAACCGCAAGTGCTTCTCGCTCATGCGCACTGGGCACCCGGCTGTCATGCCAAGCGCCGACACTACAGAAGCCGGGACGACAGCGCGCGGCTGGATAGAGGAACAGGTAAGATCAAAGAACAACTCCACGGAAGTAAGAGCGGGTACCTGTCAAATTCAGGTACCCGCTCCCCCCCCCCCTCCCCAAAGGTGAGCAGTCACCTCCTGTACTGTCCGCAGTCTCTGGTCATCCCTGTGCTGTCCACAGTCTCTGGTCATCTCCTGTACTATGTCTGCAGTCCATTAGTTCAGAATTTTTTTTTTTTTCCTGTTTTCTGCCTCTGACCATAAGGTGCGTCTTATGGTCAGGTGCGTCTTATGGAGCGAAAAATACGGTAGTTAACAAACATGGATGTTTGTTTAAGCAAATAACATATGCTGTAATGTTATTGTTTCAGTTGAATAAATCTATTTAAATTGTTATTATTAAGGTAATGATTATTTTTCTCCTTCCTAAGTACAACAGAAATGTTGTCCAAATATGAATGATTAACCTATTAAACTGGGGATAAAAAAACTAATATGAAAAGTTGTTATTCTAAAAATCTTCATCTACTTGCATATTAAAGTTATACCAGCAAGAATTAGCCTATGTAGAAAACTATGATTTAAATCAAGCCTTACTGACTAGTGATTTAAATTGTGATTTAAATCAGTTTGATTTAAATCAAATCCACCCTGCAGTGCAGTATACAGCGTTCACACAGTGGGTCAGGAGAGCCGGTGTGCACTCTGGCTTCTCAGCAGGTAATTGCATGTGGAAGGAGGACGTAATCCCTTCCGCCTACATGTTTCGCCCCTCCCACTGACTGGGGCTTCTTCAAGGTGTAGCTCAATTGTTAATTGTGATCCTACTGCTCAGCTCTCTTCCTGGCATCTGTGGGGTTAAAGTGGTAGTAAAGTCACTTCGTTCATTTTTACTTATAGGTAAGCTTATAATAAAGGTAAAATAAATATCTCCTAAACGTACACCGTTTAGGAGATATTTTACGGAGCAGCACCCAGTGACATCACTGGCATATGTGCTCTAAAGGAACAGCATTCTTTTGTTTAAAATTAAAATAAGAGGTTTATACTAACTTGCTCTGTGCAATCATATTGCACTGGATTTCTGACAGGCTTGAGTGTTTCTCATTGAAGCTTGTGTGAGATATTGCTGCAAACATTGGGGTGAGAGCATTAATACTAGTGCCATAGCTCATATTTAACTCTACTAAGTAGTAAAGGCTTTTAAAGAATCTCCTATGGAGATTTTTGGGTACCATTGTTTTTCAAAATAACAGGCCCACTCAATTTTACGATTGGATGGGGGATTTCAATGGCTCGAGGGGGAAGCCAACCTCCACAATTTCATAGCAGACCTCTGAAAGAGTGACACTAGTAATGTGAGGAAGGATGCTGTACCTGTGAGTCATCTAAAATGTTTTGAAACAAGATGCCTATAACTGCTACTTTGTCTTCAGATTAAAAAAAAAAAACTTTTAAACTATTTTGCTATCTTATTTTTTTAAGCACTTCTGTATATAAATATTGAGTCAGTGATTCAAACAAAGTAAAAAAAAAACAAAACAATAAAAAAAAATAAAATATATATATATAAAATATATTATTAGAAGAAAGAATAGTAGAAAAGATATTATTGAAATAAAAAAAATATAACAAAAACCACACAAAAAATAAAGAATATTTTTAAGTATGAATCAAACAAAAGTCATTCAAAAAATCAAGTTCAATCAATAAAGTGTTCATTCAGTGAACCCTCCTTTTGGATAACGAAAAATATGTGCAGCTGTCATTAATTCCCGTGCAAAGACATCCTCCACCATATATCTGCTCACCTCACGCAGTGTGACCTCACATTATACAATGGTATGGCCTAACTGCACTTTTGGCAGATAACAATAAAATGCCTATGGTTACTTTTATTGCCCATAAAAGCTTCTTCTGTACACCTTTGTTACTGTAGCCTGGCTTTCCTTAATGTCATGATCAAGTCCATTCCAGTGTCCAATGAGACTTCCTCTCTGGTCAGTAAAAAGGCACTCTCACTAGAAATCAGGATGGTGTTTGGGGGGGATCAGGTTTGAAATCGGGAAAAGTCAGGCTCCAAACAGAGATTAAAGAAAAAATCAGAGGAGCACAGAAGAGAGTTTGCTCACCAATTAGGTAATAGCTGGCATCTTATGATGTCTGCTGTTAGGAAAAACAATTACTTTTGAAATTTAATAAAGGCTCACTTTAATAAAGAAAGAAAAAATGTATGTATAAAACCGCCATATGTTTCATTTTAAAGGAAACCTGTGCTAGAGAAAGCTGGTGGCTGCTATTACTGAAAATGCTAGTTCCCTGACCATCATTCTAATCTAATATCTCTCTTCTAACCTGGAAAAAACACAAATCAGGAGTTCTGACTTTACTTTATTTACTGCATTCTTGCTTCAGGTAAGTGTATCAGAATGTCCTCTCAGAAACCAACATTACAGCTAGACAATTAGCATCCATATAAGGTGATAGAAGTGGTAGCCTTCAGGATTCTCAAAGCTCAGGTTTTCTTTAAAATTTTAAAATATGTATCAAAGAGCTAAAAAAGTGCATCTGTTGGTGAGATTCAAGTGAGGCAATGAACCTATGGTTCAGTCCAATGCATTGTAACCAAACCGGTATTATGCACATTAAGTTTGAATCCTTCAGTTTGTTTATAGTCATTATTATGTTCTTATACCCACAGTTCCTAAATGAGTGCAATCTTTTTTCGATGGGAGACATTCTTTATCCCCAAATTTGAATAAAAATTTTGAAACATAAGCTTATGGTTCATAAATGCAATAATTGTTTTATTTTTCTTAATCTCCTTTCTTTCTTTTTCTGCGATTTTAGTTCTGGAGATTCGGGCACAGCAGCTGCAGGCAGATAAGGACTCGCCAATGCTTAAAACTGGGAATAAAAAACTAACTACTCAGCAGGAGAAAAAAGAGCAAACCAAACGAAATTTAAAAACTGCTAAAGCTCCTAAGCAACAGATGGAAAAGCTACAAAATGAGCAAGATCTTAAGAATTGTAGGCAGAAAAATATAAAGATATTGCAGACTAATGCCTTTCCTGTAAAGACAGAGCACTGCCAACCACAGGAGGACCTAACAAAAAAAGGAAAGAAGGATAAAAAAAAGACAACAGCCCAACCCAAAGATAATGATCGTTCTATAAAATCTGTTAAACCTACTGTCAAGACTGTTGGAGATCTAGATATGAATGAAGTTAGCTGTGAGTCTGACAATGCAAGGAAAGTTTTATTGGAGGATAAAGATGGAAACCGATATGGGGATATCCAACAGAACATCCACTGTTACTTGGAAACATGTTTGTTTTTGGGAGATTTCAGTAAGGCCCAGCATTGCTTACTCTATTATGTACAGCACCCAGTAAGGAGGACTCATCTTAATGTAGCTATGTTCAACTTGATTTTAAAAGGCTGGGCGCAAAAGGTAAGAGAAGTAAAAGCATGTCGCCATCAGCAGAGTTAGCCTAGAGACAGAAAAGTGTGGATAAACGAGAGTGCTGCTATAGTGCATTAGTAGAAAAGTTGTGTGTGGTTGACTAATTGAATGGCAAAAAAGGAGTGTACTCGGGTGTCAGATCACTCCCAAACGGGTAATATACTCGTGCTACATCCTGGTTATATCAGACAAAAAGGGGGAAAAGGGAAAAAGAGGTGCAAATGGCCTTTAGAGGCACAGAAACTCTATACACATATTCATAAAATCATTTGTATTTTATTTTGACAATAAGTCACGAAAAAAAAACATATTTCAATTAAAAAAGATCATTGTACAGGGACCGCAGACAATGTCCCACAACCTACCATAATGAAGGAAATAAAACTAGTGATAAAACATACAGTAACCACCAGAAGGTCCTATGGGGGGGTGAGAGACATTAAGCCATTGGAAGAATGGCCCAACGTGTTTCGTGACAACAATCGCTTCTTCAGGGGCTTAGTAGTAAAATCTAGAAGAGATATACATATGTTGAATATGCCAAATTACATCATGTAAACACAGAAAGAGTCATATAACAATATGATAAGACTTACATATGATATTGATATGCACCATGCAACAATAAACCCTCCAATCATAAAGAGTAGGCCTCCTCTATGTTCCCACAAGGTAAGGGGCCATCCAGAGGGCCAGATATGGGGGTGCAAGAATGGCCGACAGTGCAAAGACTCAAAGGTCAGCCAATAAGGGGAAAAAGAGAAAGTAAAGCTCAAACCCAGGAGTACGTATGTTTCCTTACATCAGGCCATATCCGTGAAAATGATGCTGATTAACTGAGTAATACCTTAAATGGGTGGTGTTGTAGCAAGGTCAAAGATTTTCTCTAAAATTGCTTGCAAGAAGAAAGCCTTTTCACAGCCCACGCAGGAGATGAATAAAGGAAAGGGGCATTACCCCCTAATATCCGAGGGTGGAAAAAATTGGGAAAATATCACAATCGGACAGGTAGAGGTACTCCCTATAACATATAATATACAGTTGCAAGAAAAAGTATGTGAACCCCGTTGGGATTACGTGGAGTTTTGCATGAATTGGGCATAAAATGTGCTCTCTGAACGTCATCTAAGTCACAATAATAGAAGAACACAGTCTGCTGAACATAATACTACACAAACATTAGATGTTGCCATGGTTTAATTGCACATAACATATAAACATTCACAGTGCAGGGAGGAAAAAGTATGTGAACCTTTGGACTTAATAACTGGTTGACCCTCCTTTGGCAGCAATAACCTCAACCAAACGTTTTCCTGTAGTTGCAGATCAGACCTGCACAACGATCTGGAGTAATTTTGGACCACTCCTCTTCGCAAAACTGTTTCAGTGTAGCAATATTCTTGGGATGTCTGGTGTGAATCGCTCTCTTAAGGTCATGCCACAGCATTTCAATCGGTTGAGGTCAGGACTCTGACTGGGCCACTCCAGAAGGCGTATTCTGTGCTGTTGCAGCCATTGTTTTGTTGAGTTACTTGTATGCTTTGGGTCATTGTCCTGTTGCATCACCCATCCTCTGCAGAGCTTCAGTTGGCGGACAGATGGTCGTACGTTTTCCTGCAAAATGTCTTGATAAACTCTGGAATTCATTTTCCCATCAATGACAACAATCCGTCCAGGCCCTGAGGCAGCAAAGCAGCCCCAAACCATGATGCTCCCTCTGCCATGTTTTACAGTGGGGATGAGGTTTTGATGTTGGTGTGCTGTGCCTTTTTTTCTCCACACATAGTGTTGTGTGTTCTTCCCAAACAACTCAATCTTGGTTTCATCTGTCCACAGTATATTTTGCCAGTAGTGCTGTGGAACATCCAGGTGCTCTTTTGCAAACTTCAAACGTGCTGCAATTTTCTTTTTGGACAGCAATGGCTTCCTTCGTGGTGTCCTCCCATGTACTCCATTCTTGTTTAATGTTTTCCTTATTGTAGATGTGTCAACAAAAATGTTAGCATGTGCCAGAGATTTCTGTAGGTCTTAAGCTGACACTCTGGGATTCTTCTTTACCTCATGCAGCATTCTATGCTGTGCTCTTGCAGTCATTTTTACAGGATGACCACGCCTAGGGAGAGTAGCAACAGTGCTAAACTTTCTCCATTTGTAGACAGTCTGTCTTACCGTGGACACATGAACATCAAGGCTTTTGGAGATACTTTTGTAACCCTTTCCAGCTTCATGCAAGTCAACAATTCTTGATCGTAGGTCTTCTGAGAGCTCTTTTCTGCGAGGCATGGTTCACATCAGACAGTGCTTTCTTGAAACCAGTAAACCCAAAACAGGTGTGTGTTTTTTAAGGGCAGGACAGCTGTCAGCAACACATCCAATATCATCACACTGATTGGAGTCAAGGTTGGCTCACTCCTGGCTCCAATTAGCTCTGGGAGAAGTCATTAAGCTAGGGCCTCACATACTTTTTCCTCCCTGCACTGTGAATGTTTACATGTTATGTGCAATTAAACCATGGCAACATCTAATTTTTGTGTAGTATTATGTTCAGCAGACTGTGTTCTTCTATTGTTGTGACTTAGATGACGTTCAGAGCACATTTTATGCCCAATTCTTGCAAAACTCCACATAATCCCAAGGGGTTTCACATACTTTTTCTTGCAACTGTATATCATTACTACATAATGCCCGTTCAGATGGTACTTCCCCAAAACAGCCCGTTATATAACAAAAATATATGAATTCTAATAACCTACCAAATTGTGAAAAGGTGAGTCCCAGTCACAATAATATGGCTTGAACAGTATCGCTGGGCCAGCCCATCAAAATGTGAGAAGATATTAACCTCCCTACTGGCCTGATTATGTCAGTATTTCTGTACTCAAAGCGGTACATTTTTTTTGCATGGAAATGTTTTTTTATTTATTTCTTTAGGAATAACTCACTGAAATCTGTCCGAACAAGAGTCTAGTAGACATCCCGGGTATGATAAAATTTGAAACCTGAAATCATAAATTATAATATAATTTAATTCAATAATATAACCAAACCAAAAACACTGAAATTTGAAATATAGCGCCAAGTTCGCACATCACTGAGCAAAGACGCAGAATCGTTTACAGTTTCTGATGACGAATTTCCCCACAAATCACTCAATTCTGCAAGTGGTTCTAATTTACTATCGCTGTTTTCTAGCTAGTCTAAAACCGCTTTTGACCTAAAGGGACGCTTTTTGGACACCATGGACGTTTCTCAGTTTCCAGGCAGAACAGTAAAAATGCAGGCAGGACACAGGACAAAGCACTAGGGACAAAATGTATGTGAAATGGTTTGATATAGTTAATCAGCATCATTTTCACTGATATGGCCTGGTGTATATGTAGTGTATACCGTTGTACTCCTGGGTTTGAGTTTTTCTTTTTCCCCTTGTTGGCTGACCTTCGAGTCTCTGCACTGTCTGCCATTCTTGCACCCCCATATTTGGCCCTCTGGATGGCCCCTTACCTTGTGGGAACGTAGAAGAGGCCTGCTCTTTATGATTGGAGGGTTTATCGTTGCATGGTGCATATCAATATCATATGTAAGTCCTATTATATTGTTATATGACTTTTTCTGTGTTTTACATGATGTAATTTGGCATATTCAACATATGTATATCTCTTCTAGTTTTAATACGAAGCTTCCAGCGGCTTAATGACTCTCACCCCCATAGGACCTTCTGGTGGTTACTGTATGTTTTATCACTAGTTTTGTTTCCTTCGTTTTGGTAGGTTGTGGGACATTGTCTGCGGGGACATTGTACAATGATCTTTTTTAATTGAAATATGTTTTTTCATGACTTATTGTCAAAATAAAATACAAATGATTTTACTAATATGTGTATAGAGTTTAAGTGCCTCTAAAGTCCATTTGCGCCTCTTTTACCCTTTCCCCCCTTTTTTCCACCGTTTTTGTCTGACTAATTTAATGGGTCAGCTTATTCAAGTGGCTTTCAATTTAACCTCTTTTGGGCCTTGCTTTGTTTTTTGGCTTCTCTGGATTAGAGTTTTGTCCGTTGCTATGGAGTCTCAGTTATCCTGCTGCCATGATGTGATTTTAATGAAATGTTGAACAGTGAGGGTGAGATCTTCATGAGTGACCTGTGAACCTAGGGTGTGCCTAAAATATAAAAGAAGCTAGTAGGGTATTTAATTTGACAGTATCATGGTAAAGTTTAAATAACCATTTTGGAAGGGCTTGCACCTTGCATCGAAGAATGGTGGCCAAAACTACTACTAAATATTTTTAGAATTTTTCCTGCTTTTGGCATACAGTTCCACCTGATTAGCTGTTGCTCCTTTTGCACTGCATCTGACAAGGGGTACATAGCTTCATACTGTGCTGAGAAAATTGCATGTTTGTTGAGAAGGTCACCTTCTAACCACTACAAATAAATGCCCACATAAAGTATTTAATAAGGGATGCACTTCAACATGGAAGCTTTATGAACAGAAAATGCTGGAAATTTATGAGCTATATTTCTGTCTATCATGTTACTTGTATGGTTTGACAAATTTGATGAGAACTGAACATAAACGGTGACAAGACAGTAAAATTGTTCAGTCTCTAATTCTAGGCCCATTGACCAATCATAAATTCAGTTTAATCTATGCAAGTGTAATTTACAGTGATTTTTTTTTTATTTTTTTTTAAGTGTTACTAAACCTACAACAGTAAAATCAGTCTGTATATGCAGTAAAGCATGCTTCTTATACTCACTATGGAACCTAAGGGGTTAATCCTCTGCATTGTGTAAAAAGGCCGTTTGATCCTCTTTTCTCTCCCCCTCCTCTTGTTCAAATGTCCCAGTAGCCATATGCACATACTCAGATTGGTGTATATTGCTAGAGAGGCTTTTTCTTTTCTTGGGAGAGTGCATGTGTTCAGCACAGAGCCAATCAGCACTTCCAGACAGAGGGTCAGGGGTTTTGCATCCTCCTAGAGCAGAAAGC